CCACTGAACGCTTTATTGCGAACCTGTGGCCAGGCTATGGACATTCACCCATTTACATCTTTTTATCAAGCAGCAAATGGAGCTTTAAACCAGCCCTCACTAGCTGCAAGTACTGTGAAACAATTCATCCTCCAAGTTCACAGAAGCACTGAAGTCCTGCTCCCCTCCCAAAACACCTGCTCTGGATTTACATTAGAGATTAAAAGGCTGAAAGGGGGAGCTAAACTGGTTTAGATAAAAACTTCAGCGCTTCTACTGTGCACTTTAAGGATTAATTTCCCCACAGTGACTGCAGCTCCAAAAGGTCAGTGAGGGCTTCTTCTAAAGCCCATGTATTGCTTGTTAGGAATATGTAAACGTATGTCCATAGTGCGATCAAGGTTACACTTTAGGCCAACCATACAGAATACATTCTGGATTTTAGGGAGGAATCCTAAAATAAACCTTTAAAAACATGCACACAAACTCCTACGGCATGCACTGTGTAATCCATAACATGGAGCTATCCCTTCATAAAAGGACTACACACAGGGAAACATTTCACAAATTTCCCAACAGGCTGGTCGGCTTGACAGCCATTCAAAAACGCACAGTGCATTGTGTTTTTGTTGTTTCCAAGGAAACCTCATAAAAAGGAGATATTTTTTTAATTCATAAATGATCACAAGTACTACTTAAGCACTTTATTGTGTTTCCACATACGCCAACAAGGCCACAATATAACAATGTATTCATACATCGCCCATAGAATATGTAAAAAGTCTTAATAAAGAGAATTATTATTAAACTAAAAACCACAGGATCCCAAATAGAAAGCATTTCTGAAATGTCAAACCCTGCCTGGGGATTTGGAATGTTCTATTGCCACAAGAGGTACCTTTATTTTCTCTTTCAATGAATCCTTCTATGATGCAATGCAACCATCTGACATGATTTGCTGCTGCTCTGGGGGATGGTACACACCGTTAGGTCGCATGATAAAGCGGCATACAGGTTACAGATTATTACAGATGTAATAGCGGGACTAAAAGCTCATCTCCGGGGACTACAAAAAAACACTTTACGTATCTACTGCAGTCCTGAGCCTTCTCTTCCGTTTACTTCTGGCGGGGTCCTTCTTCAGATGTCCAAGTCACTACCCGACGTGGACACTTCCTATTGGAAGGGTGGTGTCATCGCAAAGGGACTGTTGGGTACCAGCTGGGAAGGGATCATCTGCAATGTTGGGTTAGCAGAACCCATGCACCCAGAGACAGCACCAGTGGCACTTTAAAGTTAAACTGTGTTTTACCTATGCAGGGCAAAGCAAAAGGTTCACTTAATGTAGCCCTGCATAGCAATACATACTTCTCCACAGGCTGAATGAGGAAAAACCCATAGCTGTCAGAATACCCAAAAAGTGAGCGCAGCCAACCATTCAGACGACATTCTTTAGCCCAGCTCCAGCAGAACTTGGACTAAATTTGATCAGTGTATGGCCAGCTTTGGGCCCCATTCACACCAGATCCATTGTGATCAGGTTTTCAATGGATGCCAATGGACGGTAACCCAAAAAAATTAATGGATGTGAATGGGACCAGTTCACACCGCTCTGTTTGGGGGAAAAGAAACCCAAACCAAAACATGCACTACTTTTTCTCAGCACAATGCAACGCAGCAGTATGAACTAGCCCTATTCACACCCATTCATTTTTCAGTGCACTTGCGGTAGCTTCCTTTAAAAAAAAAATAAAAAAAAAAAAAACAATCGAAAGGCAACAGATTGGAAGGTGATCATAAGATACAATCTCAAGTCAACAGGCCCTCTGTTGAGATAAATTTACCTTCAAATTTTGGTGTGAACGTGCCCTTCAACTGCCTCGGTAACAACCTATGAACTTCAACATCATATACCACCATTGCCTCTCAGTGGACTTCTTCTCATAATACTTTCCACAACAAGACTGAACTGCAGCAGTGCAAGATTGTGGAAAATCCAGACTAATCTGTGCAGATCGTTTTGCTTGCGTCATGTTGACATGCAAAACTATCAATCACAGGAGATTCTGATGTCACAACTGCACTACTCAAAACTGCATGTGTAACACTGGCCTTAAAAAGGAGAACTATGAGGTGAGCGATTTCCACTCATTGTCGTAGTTGCCGACCTGTGACAAAGAAGCTGTCACACGTCGGCTCTATAGATCGGGAACGGAGCAGAAACATGCCGCCGATCCGCTACCTTGCCGATAGTCTCCCTGCAGTGAGCGGTGACTGTCAGTCATCAATCCCTGCAGGGATTCGCCCCTCCCCTCTAGCGTTGAGTGGAGGAACAGACAGGAGAGGGGGCCGGCACAGCTAACTCAGCCTCTAGATAGGCAGAGCCCGCTGTCACTCACGCAGCTGGGCGGATTCAGACAGTATTGTCGGGATCCGTCCCGCCTGCTGCGCTCTCGGTATATCGTGGGTAATAGCCCGCTATATACTTAGCTTTGGGTCTCGGGCGGAGGTTAGTATATGCCCTCCCGTGACCCTAAAGAGAACTATGGGGAAAACACTTACCCCATAGTTCTCTTTTAAATTGACATTGGCATCCAACTGTTATATAGCCCAAACAATGTGGAAGAAGCGTCTGCTATGTGCCTACAGGAGTCAGGTAGCCAGTGTGCCTTAAAAATGACAGCTGGCACCTAACTTTTGAGGTTCTCTAGTTGCTGTCAATGAACCTGGCTCCTAAATAAATACTGCTGGCTCCTGGTTTGGACAGACTGGCTCCTGAATTCCTTATAAACTTGTCCACCTCTGGTCTACAACATGACTTCTAGCATCTCATATGTAAGGAGGTCTTCAGATATTGATAAGCTCATAAGACTTAATCTTGTCCAGCATCTGGCACTGTCCCATGGTCAGTCTTCCGTCTTCCTACACTTCTGATCTTTTGTTCACTGTGAGAAAAAGTAGTGAGCAGGGAAAGACTGGCAGAGCATGTGTATAGAAATCTGAGCCGTGTTTGCATATGGTCACAGCATGAAGAGCCGACTGCCAAAACTTGCCGGTGCCTTTCTTGATTCCCCTCCGTACCAGGCCATTCCCCTGCTCCAAAACTGCACGTACAGCAAAAACTTAACTGTTTGCAAACCCAGCACAATGTCCACTCTAGATGTGAATGGACGCACAAATCCCAGTAAAAGAGCCTTTTTAAAAACGACTCCACTGAAGCTACTCCTATGGAGTTTGAAGAAAATACTATAGAGTCTATTTAGACTACACAGGTCATTTTTAGTAGCTCAGTCAGGCTGCTAAGATCCCTATCAACCAGCAAGAGTAACACTCAACTGCTAAACAGATGGAACAAATGGTTCCTTATAGTGTAAACTACACAAGTAACATGGAGGAGTGAATAATCGCACTTAACTGGTGAAGAGATCATGCGCAGTCATTGTTTTTACAAGCTACTTGTGTAGCTTACAGCATTTTGGTCCATCTAGCTTAGTGGTTGATCGAACGATCCATCCAGGTTTGTTTTTTAAAAAAAATATATATATTTGCGTTTTGTCCTACAGAAGCAAACAAAAACGCAGAGACTGTTAATGCAAATAAACCTATTTTTTTTACAAACAGAACTATTTGAAGACCGTAGCCATGTCAATCCGCTGACCAGTGTAGAAAAGAATGAATTTTGTCTAAACCACAGATATTTTTCAGCTTGCTGGATGGTTTTCTACTATTCAAGGGAGATAAAAATAAGAAGCAATCGCTCGCGGTAAAACAAAAAAGTACATTGGAGTCACCAGCAACAGATCCCAGGGTATACATGGCTACTTGGGATTATAAAATATACAAGCATTTGTCCCAGACTTTACCATACATACATGGGCTAAGCTCACAATACATGGAACAAACTATACATCACATTCCAAAAAAGCTACACTTGCTATTTAAAAAACCAAAACTAAAAAAAATAATAATGATTATTATTATTATTCACTTAACTGGAAAAAAAAAAACCTAAAAAATAATCAGCTGCTTAAAATGTAAATCATTAATTCAGAGTGCTAATGATAAAAATGTCTAAAGTTCACATTGTATTAAAATTCCCAAGGAATTAAATAACCTGGATTAACAAGAACAATTGTGAGGCGCAGAGAAAACACCCACACACAAAGAAAATACAACGTTACAGAGTAGGTGAAAAACTAGAGACATCAGCAAATTTCCAAAGTTGAAAAAAAAAAAATGGCAGCACGGCATTGTATAGTACAGTCCACAAGGGACTAGTGTGTGGGACACATCCTTCAATGGCTGATCAGGACAGGAAGTTAGAGCCCAGACAAAGGGGAGATTGTGTTCAGTATTGTGATCTATGACCTCTCACAGAGCTGCGAGACAAACCCTTTTTTTGCCTCAATCCGGTAATATATACATGCTACATGCATTTCAGATTTACACACACACGCCGTACCAAGTCCATGCCTGGGACAAATCACGAGAATTAAAACAAATCCAAATACTGGTTTATAAAAAGTGTATTTTCTTGTAAGCCAACAAAACACACCACACACACATTATATCATATTATATATATACACACACACACACATCCCGCTGAACACGGTCACATAACATATATTTTCAATTCCTTTTTTTCTTAAAATAGAGGCTAAATATTGAATATAAAAAACAAAAACAGTCAAAGATAAAATGTATATTTAAAATACATTTTTAAAAAAGGTGCAACTAACTAAAAAAAAAAAAAAGTTTGGGGTTTTAAATGGATAGTTCACTTGGGAAACCCAATGTTTTTATATATACGACAGGTTTAAAAAAAAAAAGGAAATTGAAAATCTCCGCAAAAATACATTTACTGTAATAAGATTACAATATGACATCTATACTATGTAAACCTAAAACTATATTTTTTATTAAAGGAAACACCTGAAATCTTTGTTTCCTGTCTCCCTACTGAAACCAATTCAAACGTTTAACTACATAAAGCTGTCCGAGCCGGGCTCAGCATTTACCTTCGTAGCACAGAATGCCAATATTGTTGTTCATCTTGTCCAGGTACTGGTAGTTCAACAGATCCATCTTCATAAAAAGCATTTATCGGGTTAGCAGGAAAGACCAGCTTTCTCGCTTTCCCCAGCAAAAAAAAAATGAAAAAACAAAAACAGAGAAAAAAGGGACAGAGGAAGGAGGCAGACTGCTTGGGATCAGCTCCCGGCTCTCCCTAAGATTTCACAAGACGGAAAGGCCCAGCCTCCAACAACAAAAGCAGAGAAAAGTACATGAAGGGGAGAGGGAAAAAAATAAGCAGGGAATCCGTTTAGAGCGAGCGATGACGGTTGTGCTTTGGCAACTCTGGGGTCTTCAGCTACGCCAGACTGTTCACTTTTTTTGCAGATTTTCAAAAAATTGGAGGAAAAAAAAAACCCAAGAGAGAGAAAAAAAAGAAGTGCTAAGGACAAAGCCAGTCAGTTCTCACAGCCCCGCTGCAAGTTCACTGCTCTGACATGCAGCCTATGCTTGGTATGACTCCAATGTAAGTCAGCTTCCTCTCTCCTGCAGGCGAAGTGGGGCTGAGCATGCTCAGTGAATCTCTGGAGCCTCTCATGTCAGGGACATTCAGAACAAGATTGGCTTCCACAATGCTCAGTGTTTGTAAGAGGAGCCTGTGCACAAGAGACTGTTGTCAGAGCAGGCGGGGACACAAAGCAGAGCGGCCCCAGCCCAGACACAGGTAGACCCATGGCAGGGATTACTTCAACTACACTGACAATAAAACAAAAAGCATGCAGTCGGTTAGAAAAGAAAGTGCTGAATATTGGTTCTGGGAAGCAAAGTTGCCAATCCGTTTTTTGGACAAGGATCCAAAATGAAAAAGATAAAAAAAAAGTGACAGCACAACATTTTATGGTGCCGCAGCTATAATAAAAAGTGTCTGCAAGGATCGGATTGTTCAATTTACAACAGTGATAATGAGCCAATAACTTAATATTCTGGCTTGGAAGTGTTGTGTTCAATAAAGAAAACGTTGCTCTGTTTGGGAGACGACGACAAAACATATCCTCCAGCACTGAAAGCAGAAAAGTAATGTTATTAGGTGACACTTGTGTATTTATGTGGAACTCCATGATTACTTACAAAGCAAACCTAAAGAAGTCTACAAAAGAAAATACTTGATGCTTGAGCTGCTGTCCGCGCCGGCAAACTCCGCCGTCTTGAAGCGTTACAAGCTGAACTACAAATCGCTGATTTTTTTCATATTCCCCATGGCTGCTTAACTTTAAAATGCTTTGCATCCAGGGATACCAAATAGCACTAAACCTCCAGCAGTGCAGGGCTGAAAAATGTGGATGCAGTAATGAGCCCCAGTAGTATACCCTCTCCCCTTGTCCATTCACCCAAAGCCTTGTATTCTTGTCACTGAATGCAAGGCATTCTGTGAATGAAGGAGGGAAGATCCTGCTGCATACCCACCCCTCCTATTCACAAAACCTCCCCTCCCCTCATCCATTCACAAAATGCATTGCAGGGGAAACCACCCCTCCTCTTAGTCCATACACAATGCATTGCTAAGGAGATTCTGTTGCATTATCCCCTCTCCTTGTCCATTCACAAAACACCTTGTAGGATAGATCCTGTTGCATACCCACCTTTCCTCCATTCAGAAAACTCCTTGCAGGGGAGAACCTGTTGCATACCTGCCCCCTTCTCTCCCCTCATCCATTCTGTGAATAGAATACAAGGCTTTGTGCGAATATGTGAGGACAGAGGCGGGGCCAGGACTACTACTAGACCCATTCACTGCCGCATCCACATCTTTCATCCTTGCAGCGTTGGAAGTTCGATGCTCCCGGTGTTATCCCTCCGGTGCTAATCAAAGCATTGTAGAGAAAACGGGTAATAATTTAAACACCCACCACAGGCGGTAACTTTTTTTCAGTCACAGGATGTACAGACCAGGCCAGGCTGACTTCTTTTCATTGAGCAGCTGTGCAGTTAGGATAACTGTACTCTATCCAAAATTAAAAGGATGACCACATTTTTCTATAGAGGGAGGAAAAGTAGAGACCTGGCACTTTTTTTTGTCTCTGTTAAGGTGCCCATACACCTTATGATTATCGTATGCGATTTCGTCCGATAATCGCATTGTGTATGGGCAGTGTACAACCGCAAATACTGTACAATCGTACGACTTGACTTTCAAGCAGGTTTGAAAACGTTGGTCGATCGTACGATTATTGCAAGGTTAGTGGCGTTTCAGTACATCAAAAATTCCATACCACAAAACCGGCATCGGTGCATCTCTAATAAATGCCACTCATAAAATGAGGGGGGAAATAAATAAATCATCCCAATAAGTCCATGAACAAAAAGTTAAAAGCAGAATTCCGCTGCAGTGGAGAGACGCTGGAAAGAGCAATCTAAGAGCACGGTCGCTCCTTCCAGCGTCTCTCCAATGCAGCGGTCCAAGGATCCTTAAATCATCACGTCCAATACACTGTGTGTAGGACGCCAAGGGACAGAGGAGAGAGGCTGAAGGGAGCGCAGTCACAGCCAGCCAGCATCAAGGTTCTTGTGAGTATGACCTTTCTTATTCTAGTCCCTATACAAAAATGAGCAGTTAGATCTTGCGGTGCCGAGGTAGCCCCGCTGCAAGGGTTAATAACATTTTTCTCCAGAAATCTGCTTGAAGTTTTTGTTCTTGGACTTGATGGGTTAAGATATTTCCCCGGAGTTCTTCTTTAATATTCAGCAGCTTACCAGTCTATGTTTTGGTGGCTGCATTCGTTTTCTTTTTCAGCTAGCTTTCAGTATATACAGCTAGCTTTTCTGCATATACAGAAAAAAAAAATACATGTTGATGCTGCCAGAAATCCAGTGTCCCTGTCAATTCCTGCACACTGAACTGAAACCTCAAACAATGTTATTGTCCTTCCCAGGTGTCTTCTGTGAACTACATAACATGTCCCCCCTATGTAATGGCGATAAAGAGGGGGGGGGGGTGTTTGTAGTCCTAATCAAGAAAGCAACCTAGAGTGACAACACTCCTCCCCATAGACACAGTAAAGTGAACATGTGTCATCAGCCTTGAACAAGTGTATTGGATCACCAGATGAAAATAAAGGGGGGAAAATATAAAAGAATGCAGCTGCCACATTTATGTTCTTCAGATTAGATATGCTGTAAAATCAGGGGTGGGCAACTCCAGCCCTCCAGCTTTGCTTTAACTACAAATCGCCTCAAGCCTCTGGGAGTCATGCCTGCAACTGTCAGTCTGGCAATGCCTCATGGGACTTGTAGTTCCACATCAGCTGGAGGGACAGAGTTGCCCACTCCTACTCTACTGTAAATGTTTGGAGGCGTCCCCAAAGGCTAGTTTTCAAACCTTTGTGTAAGCAAGCCGATAGGACAGTTGCCTTACCACAGAGCCACTACAGCCCCCCGCTATCACTCACCTTACCACAGAGCCAATAAAAATGCAAGTTTGCTGGGAAATCAATAGGATCTAACCCGGCCTCTCAGCAAGGGAATCCTAGGGCTCTTCCCCGGTTCCCCCTCATTCTCTAGGGGCTTCTTGAGGAGTGAGCAAAGGTGAATTACCCACTTGCACTGACCCCCAAGAATTACCCACTTGCACTGACCCCCAATAAAAGAGCCAGTTTCCACTAACCACCAATGTAAGGGGGTCACTTATGTGCTGGTGACTAATTTAGGAGGACACCTCAAATTTTACAATTTAGAACCAAAATTATTTTTGTATAGAGCAGGGAGGGTGGTAAAAAAATAAAACATGATCTGGGGTGATAGGGTGTCATACTTCAGGGTAGGCCATATTCTTTGAAACTTGCTACAACTTCCTGATCCTGCTAATGTACCATGAGATGTGGGTTTAATCAGTTACTGCATGCGTTCTCCGAGACCTGGAACACTTATTTCGGGGTTCCTCTGGAGGTAAAAAGGTTTGAGAAAGCCTCATCTAGCCAATCACTCTTG